CATCTTGCTGAGAAAGGGTTTCTTGCTAATGACATTTGGAGATCACTAACTTGTACCACAGGGAGGTGGTGGGGTTCCGGGAACACGGACTGTGTTGACTGGAGAATAGAAAGCAGGTGAATCCCACCTTGATTTGGCCCCAGTCAAGGTCATATATGCTACAGCTGGGGAGATAGCTCAGTAGAATAAGCGCTTGTCTGGCAAGTGCAGGGCCCCAAGTTCAATCCCTGGTACCAGGAAAAAAAAAAAAAAGGTCCTGTATGGGACTTGGGCCTCAGTGAATCACGGACTGGTAAAAGGTAATGCCAAAGTTCGTACGCTTCAGTGTTAGCTGGAGAATCACAGTCTACCAGCGAAAGAAAGGAAGCCGAGGATTAGCAGGGTAGATAGATAAGTCTAAGGCCCTTTATCTTACAAATGAGTAAGCTGGTCCTATTTATATCATTTTTTAGGGAACGATGCATAGAATAAATGTTTGGAAGAAACATACTAGACTGATTATTGACTTTTATATGCATGCCTTCATTTGATTTTGAAAAGATGAATTATGATTGGAAGATCCGAAACCAAAATCCAAATTATTTGTCAGTTGTTTTAAAATTCCCTCATATGCCATTATTAATTGCTTACTGAATGGAAAAAAATCTTTCATGCATTATACATACATAGTTTCCATAAGTGCTTTTCAAAAAGGTAGGCCATTTGCTGCACATTTATTTATTTATTTATTTATTTTTTGGTGGCAGCACGGATCGAATTCAGGACCTAGCACTTGTTGGGCAAGCACTTATTCCACTGAGCTATCTCCCCGGCCCCATTTACTGTACATTTAAAGGTACAGTGTTTGTAGGAGCCCAGGCATTGTGGTGCATGCCTATAATCCCTGCTACCCAGAAAAGTGAAGCAGGATTTTTCCAAGATGAGGCCACTGTGATTAGTATAGCAAGAACTTGTCCACAAAATAATAATAATAGAAAGGATAGCAGTTTTAATTGGTATCAGCTAATGGCAATTTCTGAATACCAAGGCCAGGCAACTTCTTTTTTTTTTTTTTTTCCAGAACCAGGGGTTGAACTCTGGCCCTTGTGCTTGCCAGGGAAGTGTTTTTTCTACTGAGCCATCTCCCCGGCCGCAACTTCTATTTTTACAGCACTGTGGATTCTTCAGTTTTCCCAAGAGATGGAAGAAGAATTCAGTGGGAAGCAGAAAGAAGAGGTAGCTATCTTTAATATGGCTCAGTACAGTTGGCTGGGAGAGAGAAGAAATTAGAGGATCAAGTTATAATAAAATCTAACATTTGCTGAGTACTTACTGTGTATCCAGCACAATTCTAATAGCTTCACCTGGATTATGTCATTCAGTGCCATAGGCATACTGGAAAGCTGACAATATTATTTTCCCACTTTTTCAGATGGGGAAATGAGGCTCATAAGGTTTAAGTTATTTGGCCATGATTTTGAAGTGGACAGTGTTAAAACCAGAATTTAAATCTAGTTATCCTGACCATAGAAGTCACCTTCCAAGCAGGATTTGGGTGGGTAAAAAATAGTGTGTGGGCTTATCAGTGGTACATACATCATAAATAAGGGCATCATGGATATAAGTGAATTGTTTCTTCAATGCTCCTGGTCCTAAATGTAAAGAACTGAGAGAAAGCACTACATGAGACAAGATATAAAATTCTACCTTTATCCAGAATGAAATGATTTTTTTCCTGTATTTTAGGGCAGAGACTACAGGGTACACAGGGACAGTACATAGATCAGACTCCTGGTGATTCTCCTGTTTTCAGCCTCCCAAGTGCTGGGATTACAGGTGCACGCCACCACACCCAGTCTCAATCACCTCTCAGTGTGTCCCTGGGGGCGGGGTAGGCACTGTAAGCCTGGATTGAACCTCGGCTGCTGAGCTCTGCCAAGCAGGTGCTTTAGGCTGAGCTATCAGGCTGGCCCTTCAAAATGAGATAATTATGTATACCTAGACAGACAGAAATGATAATTGCTAATGTGTAGTATTTTGGTGTCTTCAAAGTTGTTTTTTTTTTTTTTTTTTTTTTGTACTGGGAATCAAACTGAGGACCTTGCACTTGCTGGGCAGGTACTGTGCCACTAAGCTGTACCCCTGGCCTCCAAAAGTAATTTTTGTGCGCAGAAAATATTTTGAAGACATTTTATAATATTAGATTAATTAAAGCCATAGACCAAATAGCTTAATTATTCCTTTTTGTGAAATTAGGAAAATGGTTTATTATTGGAAAAATAAGATAAGGAGAATGACTTTCGTATAAACTTCCTTAGATTTTATAGTTTGCCTTACTAATCTAATTATTTTACTTATAAGTAATAATTTTTTTTCTGCAAAGTTTATTCCAGAGGAGCTTGGTCCTTCTTGGCAACTGCCTTCCTCATGGTGGCCAGCACCTTGCTCTGCTCCTCATGCTTCCTCTCAGCGCGGATGTGCATCCCCACCCTTTTCTTGATGAACTTGAGGGTGAGTTTGCCCTTGGAGACCTTGAGCAGCTCCGTGAAGTGCTCCGCTCATAGGGGGTGAAGCGCACACTTCCTGGATCACGTCCCACACAAACTTGGTGTGTTTGGTGAGGCGTCTGTGATGGTGGTTGTGCCTTGGTTTGCTCACCTTCTTAGTCACTTTGTGGCCCTTGTTGAGGCCCACGGCCATGATTTTAGTATATGTGCTGCCGAAGCGAGCACCCCACGGCCATGAGATAGCCATGGCTACCGTTCTTCAGTGGTTGTGGTGGCAGATATAACTAACAAATTTTAACAACCCAATAAAAATTTGATTAATGTTTAATCCCATTAGCAAACTTGCTTACCTCTACACATTTTCACCTTTATTTATGAACTCAATGAATTTATTTGCCTTGCTCTGGCCTGCAAGTAACTCAACATCTAACAAATTAAATTGATAAATGCTGTAAATCTTAAATTCTGTTCGATACTCTAGTGCTGTTTACCAACAGTAATACTTTAACTTAAAACCAGCTATCAAGCTACACATTTTAAACAAAGTACAAGGCAAGAGATTATTCTAATAGACCAACCTCTTTCAAAAATCGCATACATAGAACATAGAAGTACGTCCTGATTCCTTGAAGCAAACTATTATAGTATAGACTTAAATCTTATAAATACTACATACTTAATTCTCAGTCTTTCCAAGGTTAAAATGCTCATGGAATAAGAATTATGTGAAAGAAAAAAAAAAAAGAATCATGTGACCCAGTTTTTAGGGTAACCTTATCAGCAGTTAGTTTCTGAGCCACAGTAGAATCCTGATCTTACCTACCTCCACTGATGGTGTAACAAACGCCACTACCTACAAATGGTGGCTGTCACACCAGACTCTTGGGTTCAGGCTGCAAATTATAATTCTTAAACAAGAAAAATGACCCAATTGCTGCACTGCTGGATTAGATCATAGAGAGCATCTTTCTATTCTGAATTGATTTTCATATTCTTCCTTTCCACTAGGGCCATGCTTCTAGTGGATGCTTCAGTAATCCCAGGTGTCTCGAAGCGGTTGTTTGCTGTTCTGCCCCAGCTGTAAAGTTACGTCCTTACTGTAAGTTCACCAAGATTTTATGCTTGAAGGATCTCAGGATCCTAGCCACCTGCTGCATTTGCTTCGCGGTCACTGCTTTTCTTTGTGAAGCATAGGGACAAGGATGTAAAGAATATACATGAATCTGATTCTTAAGTTGGGATGGTTCTAGTCATTACATGTAAGCATCATGACGAGGGTACAATTTTATGGAAATTAAATACCAGCAGTTCAGGATTCAGAGACATAAGTTCAGTATCCAAGATATATATTATATATATATATATATATATATATATATATGCCTCCTACTGTGAAGTCAGTGTAGGTGTGAAGCAGCAACATGTACATTTTCAGTTGGGCTTCGAGTGGCCCCCACATGGTTATCTGCAGCAAGTTCTTCATAATAAACTGGAGCTGTGTCTAATGGGGATATTCGTGCTTAGAAAGAAAACATTGGCAACATTTATCGTGCTTTGTCATTTTACTTATTTTATTTTAAAGAGTAAAAGCAAATAGCAGAAACAAAGACAAAAAGGAACAAGCGACGACCATATAACTGGTAGTTTCAAAACAATTCAACCATGGTTGTTACATATTTTCATCATCAAATGTGTTGTTCAGATTGACAGATATAGGTACGCAAAACTGGTCAAATAAACATTTATGCTTACTTTCAATACACTTTTTTTTCTTGTCCTATTTTTTTTTATATTTTTAAAGAATGTATTATAAAGAGAATACTAACTGATAAGACATTAGAAATGTTACACATTTAGAAGAACAAGGTGAGAGGCATTCAACCGTTTTTTTTTTTTTTTTTTTTTTTTTTTTTTTTTTTTTTTTCAGAACCAGAGATTGAACTCAGGCCCTTGCGCTGGCCAGGGAAGCGCTTATTCTACTAAGCCATCTCCCCGGCCCCCTCAACCGTGGTTTTTGTATGCAACTTTGCTGTCTTCAATGTGGTTGTACAGAATATAGAAAATGGCATATAGAGCGCCTGTGCTTTTCCATGCAAACAGGTGGGTGCAACCCAGCCCAAGGCACCGCTGGGGAAATGCTTTACTGACCTAGGTCCTGTGGCAGGTCTCTAGCTATTCCCGCTGATGTCTTACTAAAATACACAAAAGCTGAGAAAGACTTCACTTTTAACTCTGTCCTTCTTGTGCACCACCTCCATCCAGTCCCCTCCCTATCCATCTGTCCTGCAAAGCCGAGGTGGCTTCTAGCGGTTCCAAAGGAGGTGGCACACACAACTAGTCTCAGGGTCCCGAGCGTTGACCGTATTTCCTCCTGGCCTACCTTGGGGCGAGGGTGGCGGCCGAGTCACCGTGCCTGGCCGCCGTGCTGGCCCCATCGTGGTCAGGTTGGAGCGCGGGGCGGAGCGAGCCGGGCCTGACGGAGGGACTGCGGGGAGGGACTGCGGGCTGCGCGGGCGCCGGGAGCGCGGGGCTGCGCTCGAGTGCGCTCCTGGGCGCTCGCCACCGCCGCCGCGCGCCTTTGAGTCAGCAGAGTCCGCCGCCTGCTCGCGGCCCGCCGGCCTCGCTGACGCTGCCCTGACCCGAGGAGCTGCGGGTAAGGAGACGCGGGAAGCCTCCACTGGCAGGGTGCGCACTGCGGCCGGGGGAGCGAGCCGGCTGCCCCTTCCTTCCCGGGGAGCCGGGCGGGGGGCCTTCCTGTGCACAGGTGCCTGCCCACCCCGGTGGGCTCCCGGGGCTGGAGCCCAGGAGCAGCTGGTTCCCTGCCGAGCTTTGCTCGGAGGAAGAATGAATGGTGGGCTTGTTTCCTTAGGGAGGGAGCAGAGACCGCGGATCCCTGGCTCAAAGGGACCCGGAGAGAAGGTGGGGCAGAGGTGCAACCCCGGGTTCCAGAAGTGTTGTGGCACCTTCCACCAGGTTGGATTTGGGTTTGTTTTTGCTATTTTGTTTTGTTTTGTTTGGGAAAGAAAAAAAAAAGGAGTTTTGAGTTTAAAAATTGGGATTGGTAGGTAAGATTTTTTCTGGGGATTGTGGGATTGAATGAAAGGCCGGAGAGAATATCCATGCTGTCAGACTCAGTACTGGGGAAAGCAACAGCCTGATTGTTAGTTTTGGGTACAGGGCACTTTTCTACAATCACAGGAGTTACTGAGGTAGATAGCCACAGAATGTGGAGCAGCGTGTCGCTGCTGTTTGTGCAAAGCACATTTGTATGTAAGAATGATGGGACTGGAACTTGAGAGCAGGAGGAGGTGTCACATGATCTCCATCAACCCTTTCATTCCAGAGACTGGGAAACTGAGGTGTGGGTGGGAAATGCCAGGCCCAGGGCCAGCGAGCCAGGTGGGAACAGAAAGCAGCACAGAACTGGTTGGGCCTCTGACTTGCAGAGCAGCGCTGGGTTCTGTTCCCCCAGAAGGGCCGGGGCAATGGTTTGGAGTGCTTGAGGCCCCTGCTGGCCTGTGGGTGGGGTAGTGGGCCTGGTAGAGGGGACTGGGGAGATCAGCGCCTCCTCTGACCTCGATCCACCTCTTGTGAGGGTATCTCTCTGGGCAGTGAAGGTGAGGTGGAGGGCTGTCATCACTCTTGGTGATGTCTGTCCCCAAGGCAGAGATACAGCTGCATTTCATCAGTTGTGGCACTGAGGTGAAAGCCAGGGCCTTTCTGAGCAAGCTAGGTGAGCGCCTTTAGAGCAGTCTCCCTAGTCCTCATTTATTTATTTTTAAAGAAGTGGTAGACTTGAGATAGACTAGTAGGGCCATCTTAAGTAAAGACAGAAACTGATTTAGAAGTAGATGTGTGGAGATGTAAAATGACAAGCAAAGACCTCTACTTAACTGATCATCCTGTTCCTTCCAGTTTCTTTCAGTCTCACTTCCTAATTATGGTAATTGGTGGTTGGGTTCAGACTGACACTGCCCCTCAGGGAGGTGGACTGGGGGGAATGTCTGTCTGTCTGTCTGTCTGTCTCTTTGAGTGTTGGGTAGGGAACACAGGGTCTCATTCATCCAAGGTCATAGCTCCACCACTAGCTATATCCGAGTCTTGTGCAGTGCCTCTTGGCCTGAACACTGCTTTGGTGCCCACTACTGTGGGCTGTGCCACTACTCACTTCTCTATTTTACCATCACTGGTAAGGCCTCTTGAGTCTGGTGTCCTGCAAATAGAAATAAACCCCTTCATTCTGTTTCACATAGAAGTGTGATAACTGAGCAGTAGCATTTGTGCTCTTCTACTCGCTGTCGGCCCACTGTGATATCTTTTCTCAACCCTGGCATTGCACTACTTTCATTTTTAGGGATTCTCTTTGCTAGTTAGGCCATCAAAGAGAAATGGTTTCTTTTTCCTCCCCTGTTGTCAGGCTGTGGTTTAATAACCATTTGTGAAGGGCAGAGAACCGTTGACTGCAGGATCCAGCCTATAAAAGCTTTCATTTCTAAGTGGCAAAGAAGGGTTTTGGCCAAGGTCATGGTTGACTCCAGGGAGAGACCCCAGATTTTGGACTGTTGTCACCAAACATCTTTCTTTCTTTTGATGCAGTGACAGAAAAGCTTTTAGAGCTTTCAGTGACCCAGCCTGCCTTGGCCACAGGTTCGCCACCACTCTCAGTATCTGGTAGGTATAAATTGGCACTTAGATGCTCCATACACTGTTCAAATAAGAGGGGAGCTTCAGTTTGTGTCTGAAAAAAGTGAGGTATCAAGGTATTTAAAACTTCCCTAAACTCCTCAGCTCACAATTTAACTCCACCCAGCGAATATGTCTCAGGTTTCTGTATTAAGCAGTGATTACTTAGGGCTTAGTGAGTGCCGAACTCACATCAAGTACTATGTATTTATCAACCTGTCAGTAGGCATTGATTTTTCTGTCCCCCTCCATCTTTTTTTTTGTTTGTTTGTTTGTTTGCAGATGAAGAAACTGGTATCAAACCCAAGGTCAGGCACCTGGCAAATGATAGGGCCTGGGTGTGGCCTGGGTGTGGCCTGGGCTAAATGGCTCCAGAATCAGTGCTTCTAGCCACTCCCCTGTGCATGTACAAAGAGCTTAGCCCACCCTCAGTCAAGGGTAACTATTGGTACTTCCATTTATTTTCCCTAAGTAACCAAGTCCCCCTCCCGGTTTCTGCTGGTAAGATGCTTTTAGTTCTATAAATGATTCAACTCTTAATTAAGGCTTTGTTTGTCAGTGTGCCTTTCTGTTGCATTATCTGTTGTTTTTAAAAGCCTGTGGTAGGCCTCAGTGATCTCAACCCAGGGATATACAGAGACAGGCTTCATGGGATTATGGCGACTGCCCCCTGTAAATGTATCATTTCATATGCATGTATGAAGCATGTAATTCTTGGGGAAAGAATCCATAACTTTCTTCAGATTCTAAAAGGGTCACCTATGGTGGAAAGAAAGGGCCATAATGAGTCTTGTGTTTTATAATCTCAGTTTACAAAGGACACAGCCAAAGCCCAGTGGGGAGGGCTGAATCTGTACCGCACAGCTAATTAGAGGCAGAGGAGACTCTCAGCTAGGTCTCCTGTCCTGCAGTCTCACGTGCTTTCCCTCTGGATTCCCACTTACCTTTACTGCTACTCACTGCAAAGCTTATCCCAACCTCCACTCCCCATGGGAGCTCTGTATGTAACAAGAACATGGCTTAATTCAGAAGAGCATATTCTAGGTCAGTGGTGGCAAACCCAGGGTATGTGTGTTCCCGCCGGCTGTTTGTTATCACTGAAAACTCTAAAAAGCTTGCCATGACTGTCCTAGACTATGTGATCTTCAGGCACTTAAAGAAATTTGGCACTAAACGCCTCTTTAGTTTTGTTTCCTATGTACAGTGCAAAACTAATTCTTAACCCTTTAAATGTCTAACTTTCTGAGATTGATAGTTCAGATTTTGTTTATTCAGTTTAAAAAGATGCATTTTTTTTTAAAGATGCTCAAGTAATCGTGGACTGGATCCCTTAGGAAGATAAGAAAAGGAAGTCTTCAGCCTTCTTCAAGTGCAGGTGGGAAATTTCTAACAAATTTCTTGTGGCTTCCAGGGTTCCCTCCACCAGGAAGCCCTGGATTCCTGAAGCTGGAAGAACAGAAAAGGGGTGAGGGGAATAAAATGGGACATCAAAGGATAAAAACAGATTTTGCCTGCGACCTAGTCCTGCGTCTAAGGAGTGTGACAGCTTTCTGACTTGCTTCCGGGAGCATTTCATGTTTGCCTGGCATGATGACATGTTTTAGGAAAGAGATAAGGGTACCTAGTCACTACTCATCGTGTGGGACACACTGCCCTGGACACTTTGATTTACATTATCTCATTTAATCCTATGAAACAGGAAATGCTGTATCCATTTTCTATGATTCAGAGAGATTACATGTCTTGAACCAGTGGAGAAGGAGGCAGGATTTGAGCCCTTGGCTGTTCCCATGCCCATTGTTTCCACAGCCTTCTATTCTAAGAACCCCTTGTCATGTTTGCTTTTAGTCAAGGGGCATTCTCTCTCATAAAGGAAAGATTTAAAACCCATACTATGTGAGTTATTAGATATGGGACTCTGAGGGTACCAGATCCTCAAACATATTCCATGCAGATAAAGGGTGTAATTTGGGGGCTGAGTGATATGTTTTTTCTTTCTTCTTATTTATTTACTTGGTACAGGGTCTTACTACACAGCTTGGACTCGTAGTGATCCTCCTGCCTCAGCCTTCCCAAGGCAGGGATTTCAAGCATGTGCCACCACTCCCGGTTTCAGGGCAGCATGGCATGCGGTACCAGGGATCGAACTCAGGTCTCACACTTGCCAGGCAGGCACTTAGACCGCTGAACTATTTCTGCAACCCATGAGTTACAAGTTTTTTCATGAAAGTCATGGACAATCAGGGTTTTGTCCTCGTTTCTGCATGAAGACCAAGAGATTGATGTAAAACTTCAAGCATTTTAACTTTGAGACCAGAGGTGTAGGGTTATTTTTGTCCTGCTTCTTCCTAACCTCCTTTCCCAGTTTTCTGTCTCAGATGTGTGTTTTCCTGCTTTGTGCGTCCTTATGCTTTCCTGTTTTTGCTCAGCAGCATTTGGCCAAATTCTCTGGTGTCAGAACAAATGTGTAGAGATACAACTCAAGCCTCATTAGCCCAGAACTTAGACCGCTGTGTGGTGTGGGGCCTTGAAAGCCAGCTAGGTCCTTTGCACTCAGAGACAGCAGCAGCCACAGCAGAGCCTCCCCTTCAGCAGCCCCCAAGGCACCTCCACACCTGCGCAGCAGCATTCTCCCTTTGCCTCTGTGTGCCGGCCTTCACATCCTCATGCCAAGTCTCATGCACAGCGCGACTCAGCCCAGCCATCTGCTAAGTGCAGCCCGAGCCCCTTGTGGGATTTATTTGTCTTGTGCACCTCTGCCCTTACCCTTTCCTCTGTCAGCATGACTTCTTTCTCCTGTTCACCCAGTTTCTGCACCCCTGCTTCTCCGCTCCTATGATCACATTACCTGCACATCCACAAGAGCTGGGCTTGTAGCGCTGAGCCCCACTTTGTCAACTCAACGCTGAATCTGTTTCCTATCAGTGCATTCCCGTGTGCTTTAGCTGTCACTGGTTTTAAGAGAAACCC